TCATTCCCGGAGCCAATCTAACTCTGGAACCTAACTTGATATCTTATTACTGCTACCTGAACTACTACTACTAGCTAACTTTTGAAGCGCTTACTATGTTCCAGCCGCTAAATAAAGCTGGGTGTGGTGGTGCATATCCATAATTCCTACTACTCAGGAGGCTGAGGCAGGAGGATCATGAGTTTGAGGCCAGAACCGGCCACCTAGACAGACCTTTTCTCAAAAAATAGAATATTTAAAATGTATTAACTCATTTAAACCTCATAAGCAAATCTCTGAGACAGGTACTGTTATTATCTGTGTCTTACACAGGAGGAAGTAAAAGCACAGAGAAATAATTTGCCCAAAAGTCAGGCAATTAGTTAATGACCAGATCTGAGCAGAAGTCATCCTTCAGCTCCCAGTATTGTAATACCTGCTTAGCAGCTTCTTAATATTTGTATCGGTGTATTTTTTCCTTTTCTATCATCTCAGAGGACACACCTCTCTTACCCTCTCCCAGGCAAACAGAGACTCTTTGTCTCATTTCCTCCAATTTCTGAATCTTTACTGATTTATTTATTTGTTTGTTTCATAAATATTTTGTAAACATGACTATGCATCGCGCACAAATCCACGTGCTTAGCATACATCAGTGAGTAGAATGTGTCAGAATCCTTGCTCCTGCAGGGCTTACACGGAGGGAAATGGAGGACATACAATAAACATAAAACCTGGGTGTCTCATATGTGGAAAAAAAGCCAGAACAAACAGACATGGCAAGGGAGAAAGGGAACGCTGGGCTGCCTGAAGACATGGAAAAGGTGTTCAATTCATACAAAAGACACTTGTTGAGGACCTACTATGTGCAGGGCACTGATCAAGATGCATCAGTGACTAAAAAAATAGGTTCCTGTATTTGTGGACCTTGTATTTTAGCAATGGAGAAATAAACAATAAATGTCATAAAAAGGAAAGAAGTTATTGAGCATGAAATTGAGTGATAATGTGTTGGAGAAGCATACAGCAGGTTAAGGGGATTGATGTGCAGGAAGGCGGCCCCCTTACTTAAGGTGGCTGTGGCTGGCTTTACTGACAGGTGACAGGAGTAAAGGCTTGCTGTAAGCTAGGGAGCTGTCTGTGTGGACATAGGGGGAAAGAGGTCTAAATTGGGAAAGAGCCAGACACAAGCCCCAGAGTGGAGCAAGCCTGGTGTTTTTAGATTATTTGATTCCTCCTCCTCCTCCTCCTCCTCCTCCTCCTCCTCCTCCTTCTCCTCCTTCTCCTCCTTCTTTTTTAATTTAGCCCATAAAAATGCATAGCTTTCTTTTGCTAAAGAAAATATGAAACCTCCCATTCCTTCCACTCTCTAGCTAGTATCCCACGTTTTTCATCCTTTCATGAAAGAATTTCTGATAGATGTTCCTTGCTTCTGCTTTCTTGCCAGTCACTCTCTTTAATCCATCGTGTTTTTCTGTGACCATAATTCCATGAAAGCTGTTCCCTTGTAGGTTACCAATGACCAACTGTCAACACAACCATGACCCTTCTGAGTTTACACCCTCCTAAAGTTTTTCTCTGGAGGCTACTCAGTCTCAGAATGTTCTTCTTAACTTTTGTCACATAGAATGACTCTCGTTTTTTCTCCCCTCCTGATAATACCTCTTTTCTCCATCAATTTCTAGCCACTAATGTTACATCTCTGTATTAGTCCATTTTCTGTTACTGTGATATAATAACCTGAGAAAAGAAGAAAAGAGGTTTATATAGCCCATGATTCTGGTTACTGGAGGATCCAAAAGCATGGCTCCAGTGCAAGAGTACTGGCTGCATCATCCCGTGGAAAAGAAATAGAAAGGGAACCAGCTTCTTGAAGAGGGGCAAGCATGTGGAATGGCCTACTTCATAATAATCCATTATTGAGAGAACTAATTCGCTTTGTGAGACCAACATTAATTCCTTCTGAAGGAATTACCAATTACCAGGCATTGTGCCCCTACCTCTTACAGATTCCACCCTGAAAATTCCTCCACACTGGGGATCAGTCTTCAGGATGTGAACCTTTGGGGGTCAGACCATATGCAAACTACAGCAATCTCCTTTGCCAATTCTTTTTCTCCCACTCCCTAAATGTGGGCCTAGTATAGTTCCTGTACTTCTTCCCTTTGCCTATGTTCTTTTGGGAAATCACACTGGGGAACTTCAAGGACCATCAGTATTAGGTGATGCCCAAAATGGCCAGGCTCCACTTCCTGCAGTTAGGCCAGTGGTTCTAATTGTCTGGTGAATGCAGCACTTCAAATTCAAGATATCTAAAAATGAGCTCATAACCTTCTCTCCCAGACTGGTCAGCTGACTGTGAAGGGTGTTACAAGTCATCCTGGCCCCAGACTGGAAAGCTTCCAGCCATTCTTTAGACCCCCTGAGCCTCCCCCCTTGACCCCACAGTCAATCAGTTGCTGTAGATTATGTTGTTCCTGCTTCCACGGGGAAGGGGCAGACCGGTATGCTGTCATGACTATACAGGGAAGGTGGTCCTGCTTCAGGTCAAGAAGAGATCCTGAACCTTCTAAAGTGGTCGTCTAATTCTCCCTGCTATCATTCAATGTGACTATGTGACAGTTCGATCAGTAAGGTGTAAACAGAACTTGTGCTTTCTTTTAAAAAGAATCACACAGGAAGAGATCCCCTCTGCTTCCACTGCATGTGATGCCTGGAAGCATGCATCCCCCTTGTGACCATGAGGGGAACCAGCCTGAACACTGAGGCAGCAGACCCTGAAGACACAGAGAAGAAGGACAAGGAACCTGTGTCCTTGGGTGTTGTTCTCCCATTGACTTAATCCTGGAGCCAACTAATTTAAACTTTATATATATATATATAGTTCTAGATGGACACAATATCTTTATTTATTTTTATGTAGTGCTGAGGATCAAACCCAGTACCTCACATGTGCCAGGCAAGTGCTCTACCACTGAGCTACAACTCCAGACCCTTGAACTTCTTACGTGAAATAATATTTTGAGACCTTTAGACTGGGGTTTTCATTTCCTTATAGTCAAATACATCCTCTCCCTTCTACATTTCCCTTGCACAGGGCTGTTTCCATTTTTCAATTCCGTGCCTGGCAAACTCCCACTTCAAGACAAGGCTTCCTTCCCAACGTCTCCTCTGTGATAGGATAGATGGATATGTTGTCATGGGATCTTCACTTCCGTCTACCTCTCCATTAGACCATGAGATTCTTGAAGCCACTGATAATCTTTGTATTCCTAATGCATAGATGTTTATTGAGTGAATTAACAAATGAATTGGAAGATTATTTTATGTTTTGGTTCAGTTTTGCACTCCCACAATACACTCTTGATAGGTTATAATGATACTAGTTGATAGGTTATAATGATGATAGTGAACTTGGATGAATTCATTACTGAGCCCATCAGATCTCATATTCATGCACATTAAACCACCTAGGGATAGAGAAGAAAAGTAAAGAAGTAAAAAAATGCAAAGTTCAGAGACTCTGAGAAGATGGACTACATTTATGCAAAGTGGTGGCACAGGCCTACAATCCAAGCTACTCAGGAGGCTGAGGCAGGAGGATTGAAAATTTGACACAGACTGGGTAATTTAGTTGTAACCCTGTCTCAAGATAAAATGAAAAGTACTGGGAGTGTAGCACAGTGGTAAAGCATCCAAGGGTTCAATCCTCAGTTCCACTAAATAAATAAATAAATGAATAAGAAGGTATCAAGAGAAACAAAAAGATATTCATCTTTTTTTTATCAATGTGACTTTCAGGAATGCACCTTCTGAGCTCTTTGGTTCTAAAAAATGTAACTGCTCAGAATGATTTCTTTTCTTCCACAGGGTAACCTCCATTGGATGCTCCCAGAGATTTCGTTCATTTGTTTATTTATTTTTAAAATGTTTTACATTGGTGCACTATAATTACAAATTATAGTGAGATTCATTATGCTATATTTGAACTTACACTTAACACAATTAGATCAATCTAACTCCTCAATCTCTTCCCCTTTCCTCCCCCCACCCACTTGCTCTACTGATCTCCCTTCTATTATTATTATTTCAATTGGTGCATTATATGAAGGATCAGAGATTTCATTTTAAAACTTAAAACTTTATAAGACTAACTCCAAGGTGGTATTAGATGAACACACTTAAAATATCAAGACATGTTAGAAGATAGCATTACAACTCTCATAAAAGTCCAGCAGTCTATTAGCACTAGTTGATAGGACATTTTGCAATGATGGAAACATCTGCATCATGCAGCATGGTGGTCACCAGCCACGTTGTCTAATGAGCCCTTGAAATGTGATCCGCATATTTGAAGAGCTGATGTTTTAAAGTTACTTTAATAATTAATTTAAATTTAAATATAAAGAGTCACATGTAGCCCTGCATGTTGGGCACTGCAGGTCTGAAATTTTTGTGCCCCACTACTGGTCAGGATAGGCTAGATAATACTGTAGTAACAAATAACCCTAAAAGACGAGTGGCTCCAAACAGCGGACAGTTTTATCTCTCTTTCCCACTACACATTCATCACATGTCATCTGGGGAATTCTGTTCCATGTTTCCTTATTCTGGGATCCTCTTGAATGCTGCTGGTCTCTGTAACAGAGGGACAATTTTTTTTTTTTTAAAGTCTGAAGAGCCTTGCACCAGCAACCAAATGAAAACTTGGCCCATGACACAGATGTCTTCATGTCACAATTCATTAGCCAGAACCAATCATGTTGCCCTATCTACCCACCAAAGAGCCAAGAAGTGCCATCCAGTTATGGATGTCAAGGGAGAGAATTTTAGATGATCAGCACTCATGACTAAATAAGTAAGCATTACTAATAAAATTGATCGAAAATAAATGATGCTTTTAAAATTCAAGTGTGTTTCTACCAAAGGAACCAAAGGAAACATGGGAGGGAAAAACTGTGCACAAACACCAGAAATGCTCACTTTATAAAATCAAAGAATGAAGGAGGATTTGAATGCTGTTTCAGAATCTTTCACATAATTTTATTAAGCTTTTCAATAGGCAGATCTATCATTTGAAGAAGAAAAAAGAAGAAAGTATAAGCATAATTTACTTTTCATTATAAAGAGGATAATTTTGTCAATTTAGACTTAAGTGAAAAGATATCTATTTTAGAAAATAAAATAAGTCTCTCTATCCTTGCAACAGTAATATCTTACCTGAGTTCCAAGTATAATCTGTCCATATTTATTCACAAACCATTATCAGAAAATTTTGAGAGAAGATAGGGCCGTAGAGATCAGCTGTTCTAACCTCCAATATGAGAGTCCTTCCCATAGAAATCCGTATCTTTGGGGTGGCAGAGGAAGTCTACCACTGTGTGGGAACACAGTGGATTGGTGGACAGGAGAAACCATTTGGGGACTCCTCCTGATGCATCAAAAGTATCATCAGGCTGGGTGTGGTGGCACATGCCTGTAATCCCAGCACCTGGGGAGGCTGAGGCAGGAGGATCAAAATTCCAGACCAGCTTCAGCAACTTAGGGAGACCCTCAGGAAATTAGTGAGAACCTGTCTTAAAATAAAAAAGGACTGGGGATGTGGCTCAGTGGTAAAGTGCCCCAGGGCTCAATCTGCAGTACCAAAACAAAACAAAAAAGCATCCTACAGCTTTCCATCTGTCCTAGCTGGGCAGCCACCCAGTGAGGGCAGCTGCTTTGCTTTGTGACAACCCTTAACTCTCAGGAAGGAGTCTGCCTGGCCTTTGGCCTTTCTCTTTTCTGCTACTGTTTCTCCCGGTGGCTTGGCCCACATGCCCTCTCTTCTTGGAGGATGCAACAGAGTTGGAAGTAGGCTGGAGAAATCACAGACATTGGGCACAGAGAGAGTATGGGCATCAAATTCTAGCAACTAATATTTGATTCTTAATGTTCTTCTCTGTAAAATGGTGACCAAGGGCATTGATGTCTTAGTCTCATTAAGAGGATTAGATCAGCAGACTAATTGGTGCACAATAAATATTTATTTCAGCATGATGTTTCTTTTAAAATGTGATGTGTGGAGTTGAACATGATAATTTAAATGTGGTCTGTTCTATAGGGAGCAAGATACTTCTCTTCTCTGGAATATCATCTTAGTCCTTCATTTATGTAGCCTGAAAGTATTAGCATTATCTTTTGAGGGCAGCCAGATTATACTATTCATTCACATTGTACTTAACAGTGCCAATTTCCTCTAAGTCACCGCTTGACTTAAGTTGTAGGCATTTTAAGCCCAATGTGCAAGAATTTAAATCAGATAAAATTTGATAGGAATGAATATTGCTTCAGCTTATTGCTCATTAGCTTCTAGCCAAAGCTTAATCCTTTGAATCATGATCCAATGATAAATATCAACTGCTTCTTCAAGAGATGTATATTCTATAAATCTGATATGTATATGGTTCCTGGAGAGATCACACTGGAGACAGCCAGACCTGAAGTTTGCATCTGAACTCTGGAGTACTCCCAGGGAGGAATGATTAACTTTGTTGAGCCTCAGTTTCCTTTTCTGTAAAATGGAACTAACACATGCATAATAATAGTACTTCGGTGAGTTGTATGAATAAGCTGTCCACCTTCTCAGATTTTATTTGAGCAATTAATAAAAAATATTTGACCAGAATAAGACAAGTCTGAACTCTGTACCACACAACCATCAGCCTTCTTTAAAGCTGGACAGTCATTATTTTTGAGCACACATATCTGCCCCATGACCTAGCCTACACTATTCCATTTCATCTTTTAGGTACATCTGGAAAGGTTTTGTTTAATGCCTTATTAATACTCATAAAGGCAGTTTTCATGGGACTATCTGTATGCATCTTTCTTTCTTCCATCTGAAATTTTGGATGGATAGTTATTATTTTTAAAATTCTCTGTTAATTGGTCCTCCTTTTTCTTCTGAAGGATACATAGAGGTCTCTGGTTTCTAGGCTACCAAATTTCCCAAAATGAAGTTAGAGTTTCCCTGGTTCCTTTTAAAGTCATTGCAGTAAATGGGGGCAGCCTTAGTCAAGACAGATCTCCTTTAACTCCAGGGCTATGTGTGTGTGCACACATGTGTGTCCAATAGTGCAACTTGGCTTGAATGACATCTGTGGACTCTGCTCCTGTCTATTCAGTATCTCCACCGTCAAATGAGAGCTAAGGTTCCTCATCACTGTTGCCATTACCATAGGCAATTAGGATTCTGGGGGAGACAGTGGCTCAATCCAAACTTGAAATCTGTGTGGGGTGGGACGGCAATGTGTTCTGATAAAGCAGGTGGTGAAGGAGAAGCGCCCCCTACCAAGGCATAACAACCAGTCTATAGTAAGTCCTTTTGTTGATGACTTTATCCAAGAGACCATTTTCCCTGGAGACGTTTCTCAACTTTAGACTAATCCTTTCCTGGTCACACAAGTCCTTTTGTTGGGGGACATTGTAAGTGAATACAAGAGGGACAGCCCTCTATAAGCACCAGTTCTGTCTACAAATTCTTTCAACTGTCAGTTTCCCATGTCCTGTTGGGAAATTGACTTTCTGGCCCAGGAATCTCTCTCAAAACAGATGAAATTGTTCAGAAGTTCTCTCTCAGAGAACCTTAGTTTCTGCCCAGTGTTTGAGCCAATCACTGTTAAATTCTAGGCAATGACCATAACAATCTTCCATGGCTTTTTCTTTGAGTATTATGAACCATTGCCTTGAACATCATATTTAAAATATCCCCGGTGTGCAGTATGGAATTAGATTGGAAGCTTCTTAGTAAGCTGAAGCAAATGAAAACTGAGGCAGCATGAAAACAGCCCTAGAAGGGAATAAAGAATAAATAAGATCAAAATAATGAACAATAACATAGTTTGAGTCAAGAAAACCTGTTAAACAGTATTGCAAAGTTTCTAGTGGTAAGTATAAGAGGCAGTATGTTACCGCTGGTAATAAGAACTGAGACTTAAAAAATAATCCAAATCTAACTCTGGGTGTACAAACTACAGTGTTAACTCACCCCAATCCACTACTCAAAACATGCTATGCTTTGAAATAACATGTGAACAGGGCCCATTGCAGTGCCTGGCACATGGAATGCATCCAGAGAATTTTAGTTCCTTCCCATTTCTCCTATAGATAGCAGTAGACATTTTTTTTTTCATGCCTGAAACTGACATTTTAAGGATCTATCATGAGTTTTAATTTTGAGGAATTGCTGCCAGTTACCAAATCCTAATACCTCAATTTACATTTTGACTCTCCTGAAAAGTGAATATTTTAACATAAATTCAATTCAGTGGAAAAGATTTACAGGCCCCCAGTGTCTGTGTGATTACAGCTCTTAGTCTCTTTAACTCCAGCACTCTCAGATTTTGCAGATCCCAAGCCATTTATTAAACAGTTTAATTGCTCTAGCTTTTCCCTCTTGTGGTTCATCTCCTACCGGTTTTATCTCCTTACATTAGTCTCAAGGCCTAGGGATATCATGAGATTAGTCCAGTCGAGACTCAATCTCTTCTTCTGTTCTTCAGTTGCTGGCACAGGCACCAAGCTTGACCAGCTGCATTTAATTGATCTTCTATTGTGATTAATTTATGCCTAATAGGTGACAATTCTTTGTGCAAAGCCACTGTAGATCCGAAAGGCAAGGTTATCTCCCCACCTTCTGGCTGCTAAGTAAGACCAAATACATAACAACAGCAATTGAAATCATCATGATAATGCTAAGGACCACCACCATCTGAGACCATTTTCCTTAGTATCTTTGATCATTTTACGAAGGGCACATGCTTCACTTTATAGATTGCAGCTGAAGTTCATCCAGCTTCTCATACCTAGGTAGTTTGATGTGGCATAATTAAACAATAAAAACTCTGCTCTAGAAAATATTTTTTCTTGAGGAATACCATGCTATTGCATTGCCAATTGTAATTCCAGTTGTATATTGTCAAAATACAAACTTAACGTATTTCATAAAATACTCTGGGGAATAGCTCTATCTCTAAACTTCCCTGTTCTTTGAAGTCTAGATCATTGTTGAAGAGCCAGAAGGCAGACATCCTTGATGTACATATGCCTTTAAATAGTGACAGTCAAAGATAGAGATCCAAGAGAAAGACAAAGAGAAATCCAAAGAGCTGAATCCTGCCATGTGAGTAAGTCGGGTGTGTGTGTAGGGAATATGTTGGTAGTTACCATCTAGGCCCCAACAGCTCTGTTAGCAAGCACGGCCCAGCTGTGCCCACCAAATGGATGGTCAGATTGTAGTATAATGTTTGTAGTTTGGTACATAGCCAGGGTCACCTAAAGAGCTGGCTGGCCCTGTACATGAGTTTCAGCTTGACTTCTCTGTCTAGCCTCCACAGAAGGATCATGTGGGAAGTGCTCCTAGGGATGTCTCTACTATGGTGGCTTTTGGGGTTGTCCCACCTGGCTTCTTGGTTCCTATTGGCAGAATTTCTTTTAGAGTATGGTAGCTTTGGAAAAATCCTCCACAATATCACTTCCTCCTTGAGATTACCTTGGAAGGTCATTTGTACCATTAAGGTGACTACTTATCCTGGTTTACCAGGGACTGTGCCAAATTTAGCACTGAATGTCTAGCATGGCAGGAAACCCCTCTGTTTGGGATAAACTAGGACGATTGGTCACCCTTTCTTATGGTCTTGCTTTGTCAGAGAGCCACCTAAGGAAGGGGGAAATGAGGTCAGTTGTAATGTTTTGTCACAGCTGCATGGGTCAAAGGTGTCACAGTGATCTGGAAGCTTGGAGACAGGTGATATACACTGTCCTCTTCCCCAGGGTAGGAGGTATGATAATGGAGGTCTAAAGCACAGGCCACCTGTTCCTCAGACCCAGAACAGAGATGCTCTGAACTGGTGAATAATGTTCTCTCTGCCTGGCGGCAACTGCTTTTCAGTTCTATCCATAAGAAGCCTCCTTGTTGGGATCACTCACCTGGAAGATTCCTGGTGACTCCACCCCTTCTTTTCACCAGCATTTGCTAAACCAGGCTGGGTGGTGACCTTTCTGGTAGGAGGCCAAAAGGTCACACATTTCTGGTTTTAGCCTCACTCCTGAAACTGTAAACAAAGACTCCTCTGTAGGGAAGAAAAAAGCACCAACATATTATTTCCTGGGATGTTTCACAGTATGTTATACTTTTATGTCTGTTGTAACATTGTCACCTGAAGAGATGTCAAAACACGAGCCAGACTTATTTACTAGTGATTTATAGTAACTCAAGGATGACTCACTTTACCAAATCTACTAATAATCGTCAAGTTCTTCCTACTTGACTCAGGTCACGGCGCATTTACCAAATGAAGACTAGGGCAAGGTAGGGTGCTACGTGTGGCAGATGGTAAAAACAGGGATCGAGTTGGGAGAGACCTACAGACACAAGCAAGGGCAGAAAGTGAGGTGCAAACAAAAGAATTTTGATAATCTGTCCCTTTGGGGAACATCAAGAAAGAGCGTCACCAACCTGGAAAAAGATCAAAATTCAGAATTCTAAGTCCAGTTCTTCATTGGTCCCTGCTTCCCAAATCCAAGAATCCAAGTCCTTTTACATAAAATGGTACAGTATTTGCTTACAGCCTCTGCAGATCCTTCTGTATACTTCAAATCATCTCTAGGTTACTTATAATACCTAATATAATGCACATGCTATGTAAATAGTTGTTATATATTGCACTGCTTAAGGAATAATAACAAGAAAAACAGTACATGTTCTATCCAGATGTGAGGTTTTTTTTTCCCCTGAATATTTTTGATCTGTGTGGTTGGTTGAAACCAAAGTCGGTAAACCAACTGATGAGGATCCTTTGGGCACAGAGGTCTATTGTAAGGTTTCTGTTGGACGTGTGGATGACTTCTGTGTCATCAAAAAGTTTTAAAAAATATATAAATAAAACCACTGTCAATTAGGGTCAGTTGGTATTTGGTTCATTGAGCACACTAGCAGTTTCCATGTCCACAGACGCCTGTTTTTATTAAGTGCCTATTGTTTCTGAGTGCTTACTAAACTACAGTTATGGGCCAAATCCTCCAAAAGTTAACATTTAAGAGTTCCATCTACAAATGGGGAAAGCTGAAATCCCTGGCAGATTGCTGTAAATTTAAAGAAGTGAACATATGCAAAACACCTTGAGGAGTTCCTGGCATACAATGTTTCTAATAAGTAGTAGCCATTGTTAGAAACCTTAACAATGGCGCCAAAGCAAATCTACTAGAGAACTCGTTCTCCTCCAAGTCTCACAATCAGCACAAACCTGGGTAGCTCAGAACATCTCACAACTCTATAAAGAGAGAAATTTCTATGTTTGGCTCTCCACATGCATAAAATGTCCTTAATGATAGTGTTTGCTGGAAGATGCTCTCACCCAAAGGGTAGAAATAAACCTGCAATGCTGGCCCTGCCTCGCTTGGCTAGAACTTTCTTAGATGCTGTGGGGAGTCTGTGGCTCTTACTTCTTTGGTTTGGAATTATATATTTGCTAGACTAGAAAGGGGAGACAAGTTTTGTCAATATGCATTTGACATCCCCACAGGGACATTATAATATGCACTTTTGTAGTCAACTTTCTTTTAGCTCATGTCATAGCATGAACAGTTAAATGGCTAAAATAAACAGTGTGTACAATTTACAGGTGATGCTCAAATGGCCTCAAATCCAAACAATGTTGGGAACTTCTATGGGGGAGAAGTCTCCTTGTGCCTTGGGGACAGTGGCATGAAAAGCTGGGATTTCCCCCAGGCTTCTTTGCCTATCAAAAGCAGCTCCTCAAAAACACAGAGGACTACGGAGAGAGGGAAGGAGGAAGAGAGAGAGAGAGAGAGAGAGAGACAGAGACAGAGAGAGAGAGAGAGAGAGAGACAGAGACAGAGACAGACAGAGAGAACAAACAAGGAATCAAAAGGATTCTGGTTTGACTGTGGACTGCCAGACTCTCCTTCCCAACTCAGAAAAAGAAAGAGAAAGGTGGGAAAGAAAAAGAAAGAAAAAAGCCGTAGAGCGTCTCTCCTTCTTCAGCAATCTCACAAATGCAAAACCTTCCACTCTGGTGACTCCTCATTAGCTGACTGAATCTGACAGCATAATTATCGCAGCTGCTTCGCGCTTAGAATAAATAAATACGAAAGTGGGTGTTTAAAAATTTTTTTTTGAGATGAGAAATTCAGTCATCTCGACAAGTCAGTAGGACAAGTTTATTTAAAACTTTTAGATTCTTATGTATTTAGATCATTTCGGAAGGAGATAATGAGATAGTTGTCTTTCATTCTAATTGAGTTCCCAAGCTCAGGGCTGTTGGCTGTCACCCCTTTCAAACTTTGCTTTAACTTTCCTTCCTTTAGAAATCTGATCCTGGTGTCTCCATTTACTCTTCCTGGGCTGATAACCTGGAGAAGGCGCGGTGCACTGGAGTGCAGAGAGTGACTTAATGGGATTGAGAGGCTAAATAACCTTTCACAGGAAACAAGATAATCAAATCCCTTTTACTTGTCTGTAATGGCAAAAAGAAAAAGCGTAAGTTAAAAAGAAAGCTTGGAAATTATGCCATCCTTTCAAAATGTCTTGCCATTCCCCTCATCACGTGGTCTTTGCACTATGCTTACATATCATCAGTCCATCAGCTGGGGTTGCTTAGTGCATGCAATTATTCAGAGTGTACACGTAGTCCTGACTAGGCGGTAATTTTAGCTCATGTGTATGTATAGAGGCTTCATATCTTCAAAGCCCAAAGGATCACACAGTACCTTAAATTGAAGCTGCTAACTAACAAGGAGTGCACTTCCGACTCTGACTAGGGGCACGGTACATATGCATTTCCCATTAAAGCAGATGATCTTTCCTTTTAAAATTAATTAGTGCCTATTTATCTTTCCTCTCCCTCCTACTTCTCGTTCTCCTAGGACCACACTTACATGAACCAGTGAGCTAAAAGTTTTACAAAATAAACATCCTGTTCCATTTGGGGTAAGGGAAACTTGTGTTGGCCCACTGTGCAGATGGAGAAATTAAGGTTTATGAAGGCCAATAGTGCATGTTGTGTTAAGTGGGGAAAAAAAAGAAGAAAACATAGGTCTTTAACTCTCAATCCAGAACCCAGGCTCCCTGTACCATTTTGTTTTAATCCATTCTTTTAAACAATAAAAATAATTCAATATCAATTTTTAAAAAAATTTGAAAGGGGAAAAATAATCTACAAACCCCCTAAACTAGAAGAACATTTTAACTTTTGTGTGCTAACTTTCAGTTTTATTCATAAGTATGGTAATTTTCACAGGTACATTATAATTTTGTATTCTAGTTTCTTGCAGCTCATGTCCCAGCAGAAGCATTTCCATAGTACCGCACACGTCTGTTAATTATGTTAATTGGCCGCATGGAACTTCATGTTGAGTCAACACACACTTTCCCCAATCCTTTCTCTAGTGTTTAATATTTGAACTTGTTTCCCTCATTTTTATTTTATATTTGTAAAAACCTTATAGATACCACTGCAATGAACATTTTCATTAACCTAGCTTTTATTTTATTTTTTTTTTCCTATTCAATCGTTTCTTTGAATAGTTTTCAGGAATAAAAATACAGGGTAGAATACTTGATGGTGTTTGATTTCTAATGTCATAAATCAGGCAGGAACCACAAGTCTGCATGATTTCAAATTAAAAAAAATAAAGTAATGGAAAAAAACCCCAGCTTTTGGTATTGATTGTTTTGATTACATACATGTCAAAACTGATCAAATTGCATGCTTCAAAATATGTGCATTTTATCGTACTTTAGTTTTACCTCAATAAAGCTATCAAAAAAAAAAAAAAAGAACCCAACACAGGGTAGTAGGGTATGAGCATTTATTTGTGTGATTCCTACCCTAATGCTTTGCAAAAATTGCCCCAGTTTACAGCAGAGAATCATTTTACCACAACCTCACCAGCACTGGGAGTCATTAGGTAAAAGGGAGAATTAACTATCTTAACAGTTATTTGTGTTTATTTAACCCCTAGTAAAGCTGTCTGTTTATTCCATGTATCGGTATGCTCTTTTTGTTTCCTCTTGCATAAACTGCTATTTTATGCCTTTGCCCCATTTTCTATTTGATTCCTCATGTTTGTCTTGTAAAACGGAATGAGTTATAGAGTGAAACAAAAACCATAACCAACACTGAAGTCTTAAAACCCAAGAGTGACTGTGTATGTTATTATAAAAAGAATAGAAACTAAGATCAGATGGCACTGAGGAAGGAGTCAGTGGTACTGGACTGTGAGTCTATTAAATCTAAAAGTGAACCTTCAAGTGTTGCATATTAAACATGTTACCTAGGGACGTTCGGAATCTTTCCCAGGAAGGTTTTAAACTAAACATAGAACATGAGATAGCAGAAAGGACAGGGACTGGGAATCCAGCTCTTGGTTCTGCTCCTGGTTTTGCTCTGAAGTTCTTAGGAGGTCTCTACAAGAGCAATATGTGGTGGGAAGAGAGTGGGCTTGGAGTCTGATGTGAAGTCAGGTTTAGACCCTACCACTCACAGCCATAAATTAAGCAATTGGCCTCTCTTAGTCCAATTTCCTAATCTGTAATATGAAGATAATAATCCCAGCTTCATCGATTAGTATATAGTTTGAATGAGAATTATGTAAAGTACATGGATGCTCCATAAAAGGCAGTAATTACCATTCTGCCCTGGGTGTCAGCAATCCATCTCTGGAATGAAGGTATAGAACAAGTAGTCTGCAAGTCCTTTCCCTCTCCAAGGGTCTCTCTTTCCTCAAAATTTCATCCTTACTTGGAGATTCTTTCAGAACATAATGATAACAAATTTAACCAATTTAAGAGCTTGGCAGGGCAGAGGGACTTGGTTTACCCAGCTGTCTCCTAGCAACAGTCTATGCAACACCATAAACCATATCTCAAAATAAACCATATCTCAACCTGAGATTTCCTCTACTGTATTGTAATACATTGAGGACAACTGTTGAGTGTAGAAGGTATGAATAAGTGTTTAATGAAAGCCATTTCCTAATTTGTTTCTTTCTTTTTTTTTTTTTTTTTGATATCATGATTGAACCCAGGGTACTTGACCCCTGAGTCACA